AATTAGTTCACGAGCAAATAACTTTAGTCATTTTGATCATCTTGATTAATTTAGCTCAGTGAAAAGTTAAATTGATTTGTGCTCGTATAAATTGACTAATGTGAGATCCAATAAAAAATTAAATAATATTTTTTGTTTGATATGTTATATAATCATTTATAATGAAGAATAATTTTTTTATTAGGTAATTAAATAAGTTATAAGAAAACAAATCCAAAAATTAAAATTTAATATAAAGCGTTGTGTGAATTGGGCTATGAAGTCAATGTTTAGCTCATGAATTCAACCTTTACTTCTGGACAGATCAATGATTGTTCCATTTATTAAAAACTCAGGCAATTTATAAATATTGATCCTTCCAGAGTTTGGATATATATATTATTTATATATAAGTTGTCAACATCGATCACTCAGAAATTGAGTGACGTTAACCTCTACAAGTAAAAGTGGCAAATAATAGAGTAATCAAGTTGATCTCATGACATGTTTCACAGGCAGGAGGAAGTGCAACATTAAACAAGTAAAGCTTGTGTTTGATCTAAAACCAGCCCACCAAGTAAAGTTAAGAGAGTAACAACTTTATTTGTAGGGATGGAATTATGTGAGTGGGTGAAGGGACTAAAAGGACGTATCAAAATATATTATAGGGCTCCATAATATATACTTACTATATACTAATGGAGGTTGAAATGCATGCAGAGAGAGTACTACTAGCAGTAATTTTTTACAACATATTATCACGTGAAGCCAATTTGTGGACCTCTTGTCAATGTTGTTTTTTCTCACACCATAACCTTTGTGTGAAGAAATAAGCAAAATGTGATAAGTAAAAATGAATGAACATAGAACTAAAAAGTTATTTTTTCTCATATCATATAAAGTTATGTATCGCGTAAAAATATTAGATTTAGATGAACTTGGTATTATTCCCGTAAATTGTAATGGTTACAGCTTTCTCACTTCAATTTCACTCACAAATTTCATTTTCATAAGTGCATCTGTTTTGGCTATTTGTAGTCTCATCGATCGTGCGATATTTCACCTCGACAGAAACATACGTACAAAATTGTCTTAAGATAATAATTATAACAGCTGATGCATATACTCATGTTTTCAACATATTTTTTTGTTTTAATTGTTCAAAAAGTGATTTTTGAATCTAGAGGTAATAAATTAAAAATGTGTATAATGTACTATAGTAGTTTCTGAATCTAGTGATTTTAAATTTATCATGCAAAATATTTGGATTGTCAATTTTTTATTAATATAAAAAAGGAAAATATAAACACTTAAATGAGACAGAAGATATAGTAATATTTACATTCTCTGGAAGCAGGATTAGAGGAGGAGGGCCCTCCTCACAATGCTTGTTGGACGAGTTACCAATCATTGAACTGCTACCTCAACTAAGAGGTGTGTATATTTGAAATAATATTGTTTTGAAACAATATGTTAGAAATAATAAATAAAATTTATATATATTTTTTTATTTTTTTATTTTGGGTATACACGTAAAAAAAATAATAAGAATAAATTGGAGATTAAGTGATAAACTATCTCTTGATTTTTTTTAACTTGACAAGTAAAAATAGACGCTAATTTTTAATATAACATACAAGTAAAAAAGAATGAAGAGAGTAATATTCTAATCTATATATGAATTTAAGTGCGCCTAAAATTATTTTTGACTTTACAGGGTGTTCAATTAAATCTCTTTCATAAAGAAAATCAAATAAAAAGTATATGTACGTATTAAATTTCCTGTGATGTTTTAACAAAGAATAAGCCCATTGTGTTTTAACATTATATTTTTGAAAATTTGTCAATAGTTTATGTATGTCTCTTCTTTATTTAAAATGTGGGGTAGGGAGAAAGGGGATTTATATCAGTGAATAGCTAGGGTCCATTTAGTGCTGAAATTGGTGTAGTGAAAACGGTTAAATTAGTTTGTCCAAACCTATAATCTATTCTTTTGATGCTAAACCCAAAAAAAAAAAAAAGTCGCAGGGAAACAAATTAGTGCTTTACAAAATGAAAGGCACAATCTGCATATTCATAGTCCCACTCAGCCCATTTAATTTTGTTTAAAGCAGACCAACTGATCTTATACATCATCATTGATCCTCTTTTCTTTATGTGGATTTACTTTATTTAATTTTTATCATATACTATTATTGTTATTATTATATACAATGCGCCAAGCTGTTTAAAGATCTTACCACTGCTAGCCTCAACTATATCTATAATTAAAGTGTCAGAGATATGATGAACATCATATTAAAACATTAGCCCGTACAAAATTATGTGATTTAATTTATATCTCTAGCTATTTGTTTTTTAAAGAGTGAAGAATATTTTAAAATTAAGAGTTGTTGGTATTCTTTGGTCATATATTAAGATTTTATTTATATAGTTCTGAAACAGAAATTGATGCATATATCTTTTAGCTAGCCCCTAATCACAGTGGAGGAAAAAAAGGGACTATTCGGGAGCTAAAAGGTATATAAAATAGTATTATTGTGGAATAGATATACTTTGAAAGAACTTGATTTTTACATGAAAATGGAAGTATTTGAAGTGATTAATGTAAAATAAAAATGATCTTAATTTACAGTCAACTAAGCAAACTATTAAGAACTTGTATGGAAGTTTGATTTGATTGTCCTAACTATGATGAAATATTTTCAAAATGTACTTTTATTTGTTTCCATTTTATTCATTCAATTTTGATAAGTTCTATTATCTTACAAATTAGTGGCACCAAAAAAAATTTATCGGGAGGGAATTAACAATAGCTAAGAACCTCACAGTCTTGGATGTGAATCATGTGATAATAATTATCAAACATAAATCTGTGATAAGATTCCAAAAGGATATCATATAACTATGAAATGATCAATTGACTCAAAGTCATTTTCTTTTATTTTTTGGTTAGTGAAGTCATTTTTCTTTGCCTTTTAGTATGCTGTTTTCATCCAAAATTCCAAAAGTCACCACGTAAGAATATCTTATCCAAACGATCTTCACATAAACCAATCAAAATATAACACATAAGAAAACCACGACAAGCAGAAAAATATGGAGAAAAACACTTTCACGGAATAAGCTACACTTGTCATCATATATTTAAATTCAATATTATTTATTTAAACAGAACCCACTAAGTTTTTTTTCTTTAAATATTTTTCTAAATTCTTAAGAGAAAGGAACTATCAGTTAGAAAATTGAACAATGACCGTTAAAGTAAAAAAAAATAGATAATTAATTAATTAAATTATTTGCATTAAATTTTGGACCAGGTGATCTTATAATGAATTTTGGAAAAAATTCACATTAAAAAATAAAACGCTTCCCGACTCCTGATAAAGACGAATATTAGGTTAGCTTGATGAGAAGACGATTTTTTTATTGTCGGTTGCATGATTAAGGAAAGAATGATGGACATTCATGGAGATGATAATAATAAAAGCAAAATATGATTGACACATTTTATTTTAATTTTAGAGGGAAAAAAAAGAACACGTCATCAGAATAAGGAAAAGGAGACACAAGGATTGAGAAAGCTCCTATCCTGTTTAAAGAAAAGTCAAGAGAAAATGCAATTTGCCAATTGAGTGCGTACTGTTATAATATATGATGCTGACATCAAATTTGTAGAAAACGATATTACCCAATCATATATTAGACTATATTATACTCATAAATCATAATAATAACACTCCTTCCTATTTTTTGGGCAACCAGAAGAAATCCGAGCTTATCTCTTGACTATTATTTCATTTTGGAACTTTAAAGCGTAAATCTTACGTTTTAATGTATATGATATTATTTAATTTAATAAAAAATGTAAAAAGAAATAATTTTAAGATTCACAGTGTAATAAGCCATGGATATATATATATATATGTGACTTTAAATTTATCATTCAAAAATAAAATAAAAATAGTTTTTAGATATAAAATGTGACATTTTTATGGATAAATATAATTAAAACGAAAAATGTGTCGGATAACTCTTTTTTTTTTTTTTAGTTTAAACAAAGAAATCTTTTACTAATTGTTTGCGTCCAAAGCAAATACCAACAAGAAAGTCCTATTTTGTGTGTCGGATAACTCAGATGTGTATCCAATGAGTAATAAGCTATTGATATGTAAATGTTTGGGCTTAGACCATGTATATTTGTTTATCTATCAAATAGTTATAAATAATAGATTTTGAGCCGAGTAAATTTGATAAAGGTAGTTGAATCACAAATCTGTTAATAGCATAATTTGAGATTTTCTTTTAGTTTCCATCTGATGTCCAACATTTTCAACAATAAAAAAAAGTCATTTCCAAAAAATCGATTCAAAACCTCTAATTAAAAATAAAAGAATCCCTATAATCCTACCAAAACCATATTTATACATAAATTGAGACATTGATGTGAATGGATCTCTCATTACTGTCTAAAGAAGGTTATAAATAAGGCAAAATTATTTGGTGCTTTATTTATTTAACTATTTAAATATAAGGGGATAAGTTTCACACATCCATCTTTCTATGATCAGAAATATAGATGCACACAACTATCTTAAGCATTTTTGTCATTGGACAGTGAATACCTTAGACCAATCTCGTTTACATGTAAAATTTGAAACTCCACGATAATAATGACTATTTTTTCGAAACAGGATTGAAAATTTATTTCTAGTCTCGTATATCCATTAGAAGTGAACCTGGACGCTTGTCCAATCCAACCCTCTTGGGCTGTACGTTCATATACTCAACTTGAATTCAGTCCAGAAAGAGGTCGAAAGATAATTTGGCCCAAAAATGTATCAAATGTATTGCTTAATTTCTTCCTTCTTGTCCTGTAGTATTATTAATTAAGTAGCTTAAATATATCATTTTGGATAATAAAGAAAAGAAAACAAAAATGGAAGACTAGAGAAACATGTCTACAAATAAGAAAGTTTATATTTAAAATGAGGGGGAACAATGATTGATAAAACACAAATTTAATGATTCTCTATTGATTTAGTGAGTGAAAAATGAGATAAACCAAGATCTTCTTCAAGTCCAGCAGCACGTTTGAGCTTATTTTCGTTGCGTTTTTGCAAATAATCACTGTAAATGAAACCCTTATAATTTGGTTTCTGATCAATTTGCTTAGTGAAATAGGGAAGGGGTTCAAGCCATTTCCCCCCTGATACATTATAGAAGAATGAAAATGAATTTCTTGATCTCCCATTGGGTCTCATCACCCTATGATTTGGACTTTTGTAATTGTCATTCGTCAGCACCTTCAACAAAAAAATAAGAAAAAATAAACATCATGCGAAAAAAAAAACAATTATATTTTTAGTGTAATCATCTACTTTATGAAACTCAATGGTTAGACTAATTTAAATTCGTGACATGTATGACTCATTTAAGAGTGTTGGAAAAAGTTGTTGAGTCGAGTCCACCAACAAAGGATTCTAATCGCCTGTAACTCCTCAAGTTGTGGTTGTTGCAGATTAGCTTCCGCAATTACAAAACTCAAATTCAAGACCTCTGGTGGCGGTGTAAATACTAATGATACTTATATAATATAGTAAGTATATTTTTTTTACCTGAAGAACAATACCAATGTTAACAACAAGGGCACCTTTATTGGGGGTTACTGGGATCCATTTACCATCTTTTTGAACTTCAAGCCCTCCAACTTCATCTTGTAACACAAATGTTATACATCCAACATCTCTATGTGAACTTATTCCCATTTTCTCATTCTCTGTTGCTGGTAAATAATACAATGCTGTCAACACATCAGAATTTCTCTCATTGTTAAATTCTTGAAGAGTACTTGGAGGCAGACCCAAGGATTCACTAAGGATGCTTTCTAAAATTGCACCCATCTTTGTGAATTGATTGAATAAATCTCCCATTACTTCTCTGAAACATTGAATAAACAATAATTAATATATCAGCGGCTATTCGTTCAACTTGAAGGACAAGTTTCTTTCTGTTTATTTTAAGTGATCAGCTTTTCATGCCCTACAAAGGTGATGATTTGTGTTCTATACATTAGATTAATAGAGAAATACGCAATCATTCACTCATATAAAATACTTAAACGGGATTTAAAATTAACTAGCCCTTAATCATTCACTCAAATAAAAATAGTTAAATGTATGGAATTTATAATTAAATAGCCCTTAATCATTTCTGTTCTGCCCCATATGGCCATATAAATAATATTCATTTTTCGGATAGCTCTGTCATAAATTTTAAAAGATGTAAAGGTTCTCAACAAATAATTTAGTACAAGAATCATATGAAAACTTGGATGACTGTTGGAAAAGTTGGATAGCTATTTTGGCAAAAATGAGATAACTAGAAGTGTGATTTTAAGTTCAATATTTACACAATCAGATCACTCAAAAAGGTAATGACAAGTAAACTCTATGACGAATATTAATTGATCAAACAAAACTAATTGCGTCAAAACTTTTTTATGCATTTAACTTAAATCATTCTAATATTAAGATATATATGACTAACCGGAGTTGTGGATGATTGGCAGGAAAAACATTGAAGGTGGATCCGGGGTGAAGCATAACCAAGTACTCTGCAAATTCATAAGACGGATTTGGTTTTCTGTTATAGCCTGCAGGAAAAGGCGCCCCTGGCAATGGAGAGCAGTTCATTTTCTCTTCAACAGGACACTCAAAAAAGGACTTTGATAGTTTTAAGGCGCGGCTCATAAGGTCCAAAGGCACCCCATGATTGACAATTTGAAAGAAGCCATATCGACTACATGCTTCGTGTATCACTTCTCTTGCCTTTCTCTCGCCATCTTCATCTCCTAGAAAGAACGGGGAAAGATCAACTATTGGCATCAGTGAATTAGCCATGTTGATTTACAACATTCGATATGGCTAAGAAAAATCTTATTAGTACAAGATTACAAACAAAATGGTGGCTTTTTAACTACTTATTATCTAGATACGTGTGTTTCTGGTTGATGATTAACATTATAAAAAAGGAAAAGTATGGTTACAGATTAATTAAATCAAATAATTTAACTCCCAGGGACATAACCACGTCACATGGATCCTTCAATTTATCAACTTCACGTGATTTCACCACATATTACTATTATAATTTGCGTTGTGTTGTTGGATCTTAATTAGTATTCTTTATCATTTGTCTGATATTATTTTTAGCATTATCAAAGATTTGTTCAGAGAAAATCTCAATACTCTAGATTCCCATATAACTTTAATATGGAGTTAAATTTTATAAAACAGATGCATTGGTGTCTAAAACTACAGTAAAACAATATGAAGGAGTACTTGATGTTATTCTGAAAAGCAAAAAAGGAAAGCAAGAAAACAATATCTGCAGTATCCGCAATTTGAATATTTTGAATTAGTAACAACATACAGCAGCAATACATAGCTATAAATTGAAGATTCCTCTTCATAGAATCAGGCTTGTGCGTGAAAGACATGTTTAACATACTTAAGAAAATAACTGTGTGCCCTCTAACAATTTAAATTTTTAATTGAGATGGTCGCACACTTCAACATATATATTAGGAGTGATGTAATACATCTTTATTTCCATAATATAGATAAAACTTTTCACTACATAGACGTCTTCTCTAATTAGAAATTGAGTAGTGGGTTATATGGATGAGATCTTCAGGTCTATCTGGTGGATTACTCCTGTTTTTGATTCTCAGCTGATGATATTCTTCAAACAGGAATCCTCTGTACTTTGGCGACTCTCCAATTTCCTCTGTAAATTGTGGTAATGGCTCAACCCACTTGGCTCCTTGCACATTATAGAAGAACGCGTACGAGTAACGGTCTGTTTCACTTGGGCTCACTGCTCTGTGAGTTGCACTCTTGAATTTATTGTTGCTTAGCACCTTTTTTATTTATGTCAATAAAATTTAATAAATTAAAATTTTGGGATAGTGGTAAATGTGAAATCTATAACCAACCTAGAGTGGAGTTATAAGTACCTGAATGACATCACCAATGTTAACAATTAGTTTGTGTTTGGAAGGCGCTATGGGAATCCAGTGGTCATCTTTAAGCACCTCAAGGCCTTTAACTTCATCCTGGTAGAGAATGGTGAAGAAGCCAGGATCTTCATGTGGAGGTTTTCCAATGTTGTCATCTTGTGTCACCACTGGTAAATAGTGGAGTCCGAGCAACGAATCCCGAGACCGATCATTTCTGTAGTTTGGTAGGAAGTCAGGAGGGAGGCCAAGACACTCACTTATGATTCCTTCCAACACAACTCCTAATTTTGTGAACTCGGAAATCATCTCCTCCAATACTTGCCTAACAATATCAAAACATATTTATTAGGCAACATTCTGAAAATGCAAATTAACAGAAACAACTAATTTGAGTTGCAATCAAGAGATAATATATATATATTAGTACTTGAAATGAGGTAGTTTGTTGGGGAAGACATCAACGACAGAGAATGGAAAACGAAACACCAAGTTCTCAACTGAATTCTTTGTGCTTTTTAAATAATTATCAGAAGGTACCGCGAGTTTTTCTTAATCAGAACAAGCAAAGAAATTCTTATACATATCCATGGTTTGGCTCAACAACTCGAAAGGAATTCCATGATTCACAATTTGGAAGAAACCAAAGTTAACACAAGCTTCTCTAATTTGCTCAATAGCCTTCGTTTTCCCTTCCCCATTTTCATCTGATCTAAAAAATGGAGAAACATCAATTGTTGGAATATCAAAACTAGCCATCATATTTTTCTTAATTCTCTTCACTCTTCTTAGTCTTATATTTGGATTTTCTTTTGAGTTTAATTTATAAGCATTTTCTGATCTTACAAATTGTGGTACAAAAAAAGATATTTACAAGGAAGAAATTAAGTGGAGCTAACAACCTCATAGTCTTGGGCATAGTGGGACTCTCTATCTTAAGTAGATATCAATCGTCATTGAATATTATTAACATAAATTTGACATGACAAAATAAATTATTTTTTATGTCATCTTATAAACATAAACCCCATAGTGTTAATAAACAAAAATAAAAAATGGACAAATTACTTAACTACACTCCTTTACTTACCTTAATATCCATTTATCCTACTTATTTCAAAAATTTCAAAAATCCCTTATTTACCTATGTATCCCGCATGTATCCCGTGCACAACGTTATGTATCCCACTATGTGGTATGTATCAAACCTAATGTATCCCGTGCACAACGCTATGTACCCGCTATGTGGAATGTATCAAATCTAATGTATCCCGCAAACATTATTTTTAAGGGATTTTTGGTAAATAGAAAACTAGAAGGGATAGGATGTTATTTAGTACTTATAATATGTGGTTCCTATAATTTATACATAAAAAAAACCATTATGCTTCTCCTTTCTTTATATTTCTCCCAAAATTAAATTCTTACCTAAAAAAAAGGCTCTTTAATGCTATTCATCTTGAAAGTCTTCTTAGGGATGAAGCTTTGGGGACCCCATAATTATTTTTGAAGTTCCCCTGTGTGCGCCTTAGTAACGTTACAAGCAGACATAGTGAGAACTTTTTTTGTTAGAACAATTTTATACTAAAACGGCAATACTAACGGCCAATACTTTTCCTGTGGGGAATGCCCCTCAACCAATGTAATGAACTTATGTTTTTTCTTTCTCCTTTAGTCTATTGAAATCCTTGTTTAACCCCAAAAAAATAAGTCATTCTTACACAATGGATTCCTTCATTATTTGGTGTGATTAAAATGTTATTTTCTTGCCTTGTCTTTCTCTCGCCATCTTCATCTCCTAGAAATAACGGGGAGTGATCAATTATTGGCATCAGTGAATTATCCATGTTGACTTTTAAAGAACCTTATTACTTTCAACATTCAATATTGCTAAGACAAATCTTATTAGTACAAGATTACACACAAAAAATTGATTTCCATTAATAAAAGGGATAAGTATAGTGACATATTAATTAACTCAAATAATTTAACTCCCCATAGAAAAAGGGACTGGATCCTTCAATTTATCAACTTCACGTGATTTCACCTCATTTTACTATTATAATTTACAGATTAATCTAAATTAGTACTCTTTCTCATTTGTCGATCTGAAGTATTTTTTTAGCAGTATCAAGGATTTGTTCATAAGAAAATCTCAATAATCTGGATTCCATATAGCTTTAATAGGGAGTTAGATTTTATAACACAGATGAAGGAGTAGTAGTACTTGACGTTATTCGGAAAAGAAAAAAGCAAAGAAAAGAAACAAGATCTGCAATTTGATTATTTTGAATCAGTAACAACAAGCAGCAGCAAGACACATAGATATAAATTGAGGATTCCTCTTCAATGAATCAGACTTGTACGGTGAAAGACGTGTTTAACATAATTTAGAAAATAAATGTCATGTGCTCATTTAAATTATTAAATGAGGTGGTCACACACTTCGACATACATATTAGGAGTGACGTAATACATATCATTGGTATGTTTCTTTCCATATAGAGAGAACTTTTCATTAGATAAAACTTGTCCTCTAATTAGAAATTGAGTAGTGTGTTATATGGATGAGATCTTCAGGTCTATCTGGTGGATGACTCCTGTTTCTGAATCTCAACTCATGATATTCTTCAAACACGAATCCTCTGTACTTGGGCGACTCTCCAATTTCCTTTGTAAATTGTGGTAATGGCTCAACCCACTTGTCTCCTTGTACATTATAGAAGAACACGTACGAGTAACGGTTTGTTTCACCTGGTCTCACCACTTTGTGAGTTGCACTCTTGAATTTATTGTTGCTTAGCACCTTTTTATATGTCAACAACATAAGAAGTTAAAATTTTGGGATAATGGTAATTGTGAAATCTATAACCAAGAGTGGAATTATAAATACCTGAATGACATCACCAATGTTAACAACTAGTTTGTCTTTGGAAGGCGCTATGGGTATCCAGTGGTCATCTTTGTGCACCTGAAGGCCTCCGATTTCATCCTGGTAGAGAATAGTGAAGCAGCCAGGATCTTCATGTGCAGGTTTTCCTGTGTTGTCATCTTCTGTCGCTGGAAAGTAGTGGAGGCCCATCAACGAGTCCCGAGAACGATCATTTCTGTAGTTTGATAGGAAGTCAGGAGGGAGTCCAAGACACTCACTTATGATTCCTTCCAACACAACTCCTAATTTTGTGAAATGGGAAACCATCTCCTCCAATACTTTCCTAAGAATATCACATGCAAATTAAAATGTTAGTTCTTATTGGAAACACCATAACAGAGGATCAGCAGGTAATTTGAGAGAGAGTATAGCGGAAATGTTACTTGAAATGAGGTGTAATGCTGCGGCAGTTATTGAAGCCAGAGAATGGAAAACGAAACCACAAGTGCTCAAAAGTATCAGCTGAATTCGGTGTGCTTTTTAAATAATTATCAGGTACCGACAGTTTTTCTTCATCCGAACAGGCAAAGAAAGTCTTATACATATCGATGGTTCTACTCAACAAGTCTGAAGGAACTCCGTGATTCACAATCTGAAAGAAACCATAGTTAACACAAGCTTCTCTAATTTGCTCCATAGCCTTCTTTTTCCCTTCTTCATTTTCCTCTGATTTAAAAAATGGAGAAACATCAATTGTTGGAATATCAAAACTTGCCATATTGATGTTTTCCTTAATTTTCTCTTCAATGTCGTTCTTCGTCTTATATTTGGATGTTCTTTTGAGTTTATTTTATAAGCATTTTCTGGTGTTGAAGTTAGTTAAATTTGGCATCTCTTCATTTCTCCAAGTTCTTATTTGGACAAGAGATTCAGGTGATTAAATCTCAACCATTAATTTAGATTTATGACATGTGTTCTTTTTGTTTTTTTTTGGTCGCTGAATGTCATTTTCCATTGCCTATTTGTCTGTTCATGTCTTGATCCAAAATTCCAAAAGCCAAAAAATTTAAAAAATTCAAAAGCCAGTAAGCATATCTTATCGAATCAAGGTAACCAATTATCAAAATACAACAGATCAGCAACCTCTGATCCAAAATTCCAAAACCAATAAAAAATCATAATGTGCCTGCCCACGGCCCACCTGATGAAAGATGTCGATCGGCAAATTAATAGCCTTTTGTTTTCTTATTTTTAATGTTATTAGGTAATATGCATTGGTGTCTAAAACTAGAGTAAACAATATGAAAGGAGTACTTGACATTATTCAGAAAAGAAAAAAGGAAAGAAACAAACAAGTCTGCAATTTGATTATTTTAAATCAGTAACAACAAACAGTTCATTGAGGATTCCTCTTCAAAGAATCAGGCTTGTACGATCAAAGACATGTTAACATAATTAAGAAAATAATTGTGTCCCCAGTAACAGTTTAAATGAGATAATCACACACTTTGACATACATATTAATGCTATGTTTCTTTCCATATAGACTTGTTCTCTAATTAGAAATTGAGTAGTGGGTTATATTGAATTAATCTTCAGGTCTAGCTGGTGGATGAGTCTCGTCTCTCTGTCTCAACTGCACATATTCTTTAAAGAGGAATCCTCTGTACTTGGGTGATTCTCCAATTTCCTTGGTGCACTGTGGTAATGGCTCAACCCACTTATCTCCTTGCACGTTATAGAAGAAAGCACACGAGTAACGGTTTGTTTCTCTTGGTCTGATCACCCTGTGCGTTGCACTCTTGAATTTATTGTTGCTTAGCACCTTTTTAATATGTCAAAGACAAAATAAAATGTTCAACTCTAGAAGAATTTTGGGATAATTACAACTGTGAAATACATCAGGAATAACCAAACTATAATTACCTGAATGACATCACCAATATTAACTTCTAGTTTGTCTTTGGAAGGCGCTATGGGAATCCACTGTTCATCTTTATGCACCTGAAGACCTCCAACTTCAGCCTGGTAGAGAATGGTGATGCAGCCAGGATCTTTGTGTGCAGATTTTCCTACGTTCTCAGCTTCTGTCGCTGGACTGTAGTAGATGCCGAGCAAGAAATCCCTAGCCTGATCATTTCTGTAGTTTGCTAGGAAGTAGGAGGGAGCCCAGACACCCACTTATGATTCTCCCCAATACAAATCCTAAATTTGTGAAATGCGAAGCCATCTCCTCCAATAATTGCCTAAGAATATCAAAACATATTTATTTAACAAACAACATTCTTATCATTTAAGTGAAATCACCATAACAGGGAATCGCTTAAACTTGAAACAGTGAGAATAGGGCTATAACGGAAATAAATTAAAATATTACTTGATATGAGGTGGATTTTCGGGGCAGACATTGAAGCCAGAGGATGAAAGATGAAACAGTAGCTGCTCATAAGTCCCAGCTGATTTCTTTGTGCTTTTGAAATAATTATCAGAAGGTACCGATAGTTTTTCATCATCTGAAGAAGCAAAGAAAGTCTTGTACATATCCATGATTCTGCTCAACAACTCCAAAGGAATTCCGTGATTCGCAATTTGGAAGAAACCATAGTTAACACAAGCTTCTCTCATTTGTTCAATAGCCTTCTTTTTCCCTTCTTCATTTTCCTCTGATCTAATAAATGGAGAAACATCAATTGTTGGAATATCAAAGTAAGCCATGTTGATTCTCTTGACTCTCAATGATGTTCTTAACCTCTTTATAAAGCAAAAATGAAGTTAACTATTGATTTTCTGCCCATATAAATATTCAGTTTCTGGATTGCTAGATCTGTCATAAATTTTAAAAAAACTCAAATCTGTAGTTCATGTTATAGTTTAAGAATTTCATGATTTTGTAGTACTCCAAAAAAGATCCTATAGCATAAAGTGCCAACATTTTATCTAACAAATTAAGTCATATGTGACCCTTAATATTTCATTTACCACTTTAATCTTAAAAAAAATTATATCTATTAGACATAAAATAATAATCAGTTGAAAAACAAAATTGTGTGTATCTCAAATTTAAAGAGTTAATAACTTAGATGGTCACTGAACTATTAATTCTTTTCATAGAAAGTCACTGAACTTTCATTTTCAACTCAAAAATCATTCAACTATGACTTCTTTGCACATAAAGTCACTCAACCTATTTAATTGTTTTTTTTATTAAAATTTGCTGACATGAAATTTTAATTATTAATCAAAATTTTAAGAACTAAATATATATCCATTTAAATCATTTAATGACCCGCCCCATTTAACTCAACCCGCTATTTTATCTTAATTTAAAATTTTCAGCTTTATTGATATGAAAAGAGAACAATTACATCACTCATTTGGGCCTAATGCCCAAATCCAATTAACAAACAAACATATAAACAAGATAGGGCCCATTTCGGGAAAGTTCCCGAATTCCTTCCCTATAACACTTTCCTTAAGCTTAGGGTTTCCTAAAGTGTCACTTTCCTAATCTTCTTTACCGCCACTAAATATGGTTAAGGACTAATCCAATCAAATAATTTAACTCCCTTTGCAGAACCATAGAAAGGGACAAACTAAAGTAAACAAAGAAGAAATAAGATTGCAGTATTTCAAATTGACAGCAGCAAGACGCATAGAGGATTCTATGAATCAGGCTTGTACGGTGAAAGACGTGTTTAACATAATTAATAAAATAATTGTATGCTCTTTAACAATTTAAAATTTTAACAAGAGTAAACAATATGAAAGGAGTAGTTGAAGTTATTCGGAAAAGAAAAAAGGAAAGAAAGAAAACAACAACTGCATACATATATTATTTTTCTTGCTATGTTTCTTGCCATATAAAGAGAAAACATTTCATCACATAGAAATTGAGTAGTGTGTTATATGGATGAGATCTTGAGGTCTAGCTGGTGGATGAGTCCTGTTTTTGATTCTCAACTGTATATATTCTCCGAAGAGGAATCCTCTGTACTTGGGCGACTCTCCAATTTCCTCTGTAAACTGTGGTAATGGCTCAACCCACTTGTCTTCTTGCACGTTATAGAAGAAAGTGCACGAGTAACGGTTTGCTTCTCTTGGTCTCACCACTCTGTGAGTTGCACTCTTGAATCTATTGTTGCTTAGCACCTTCGACATAAAAAAAAAAAAAGATTCTTCAAATTTTTGGATGATTATAAGTGATGATAACTGTGAGCAGCGGAGCGGAACAATAATTACCTGAATAACATCTCCAATGTTAACAACTAGTTTGTCTTTGGAAGGCGCTATGGGTATCCACTGGTCATCTTTGTGCACCTCAAGGATCTTCGTGTGCAGGTTTTCCCGTGTTGTCGTTTTCTGTAGCTGGAAAGTAGTGGAGGCCGATCAAGGTATCCCGAGACTCATCATTTTTATAGTTTGTTAGGAAGTTAGGAGGGAGCCCCACACACTCACTTATGATTCCTTCCAACACAACTCCTAGTTTTTTGAAATGCGAAGCCATCTCCTCTAATAATTCCCTAAGGCAAAACATATTTATGTCACAAACAACTGCAATTTCAGATACAATATACCGTAAATAAAATAAAGAATTACTTGAAATGAGGTGGATTTTTGGGGCAGACATTGACGACAGAGGATGAAAGACGAAACACAAAGTGCTCAAAAGTCTCAGTTGGATTCTGTGTGCTTTTGAAATAATTATTAGGTACCAACAGTTTTTCTTCATCTGAAGAAGCAAAGAACGTCTTATACATATCCATCGTTCTGCTCAACAACTCCAAAGGAATTTTGTGATTCGCAATCTGGAAAAAACCATAGTTAACACAAGCTTCTTTCATTTGCTCAGTAGCCTTCTTTTTCCCTTCTTCATTTTCCTCTGAACTAAAAAATGGAGAAACATCAATTGTTGGAATGTCAAAACTAGCCATGATGTCTTCCTTAATTTTCTCCACTCTCAATAGACAAGTATCAATTATTCACTCAAATAAAATAGTGAAGCAGAATTTAAAATTAATTAAGCCTTAATCATTTCTGTTCTGCCCCATATGGCCATATAAATAATACTTGAATTTCTGGAAAGCTCTGAATAAATTTAAAAGGCATAATACACAAATGTGTCTTTTAATTTGGCTTCGATTGATAACTGTCCAACTTTGAATGTACACATATAGACACTTAAATTAATTAAAAAATTAAACAAGAATACACGTGCATCCTATGTGGCATATTACACATATAGGACGCCATGTAGGATGTGAATTGCCACATAGGATGCCTAAAATTAAACAATGGTGTCAGCGAACCACTGAACAGGGGCAAAGTACACTAGATCAGAGGTGTTGAGATATATACTATTAACCATGCGTTTGGATATAATATTAATTATAGAATAATTATTCATTAAGTTTTAATAAATTATATGTTCATTTATGATGTCTGTTTATTTATGTAGTAGATGATTTAGAGTCCGTTGGGATTGACTTAAAAAATAGCCATGTGGACTTGCAATAGTACTCGTGCAACCAAGATGTTGATAAAAATCAATCAATAATTTGGTTTTGTGAGATGGCTAAGTTAAATCTTAGGCATAATACATAAACATGACCCTTAATTTGGTTTCAGTGGACAACTATGCCCTTCAACTTTGAGTGTGCACAAATAGACACTTAAACTTGTACAAAATAGAACAAGTAGACACATGTGTCCTACGTGACATAATACACGTAGGCCATCACGTTGGACATAAAATTGTCATGTAGGGTGCCATGTAGGATGAATGTGTTTATTTGTTCAATTTTATAGAAGTTTAAGTGTCTACTTGTGCACACCCAAAGTTAAAGGTCATAGTTGTCCGTTGACGTCAAGTCAAGGGTCATGTTTATGTATTATACCTAAATCTTATTAGCACAAGATTACACATAAGTATGGTTAAATATTAATCATATCAAATAATTTAACTCCCTTTGCAGAACCATGGAAAGGGACAAACTAGAGTAAACAATATGAAGGAGTAGTACTTGACGTTATTCGGAAAAGAAAGAAACAAGATCGCAGTATCTGCAATTTGAGTATTTTAAATTAGTAACGACAAACAGCTGTAACACAGATAGATATAAATTGAAAAGACGTGTTTAACATAATTAAGAAATAACAGTGTGCTGCCTAACCATTTAAATTTTAATTAATTGAGATGGTCACGATACATATTCAATATACATATTATGGCTATGTTTCTTTCCATATAGAGAAAAACTGTTCATCACATAGACTTGTCCTCTAATTAGAAATTGAGTAGTGAGTTATATGGATGAGATCTTCAGGTCTATCTGGTGGATGACTCCTGTTTTTGATTCTCAGCTGATGATATTCTTCAAACACGAATCCTCTGTACTTTGGTGACTCTCCGATTTCCTTTGTAAATTGTGGTAATGGCTCAACCCACTTGTCTCCATGCACATTATAGAAGAAAGCGTACGAGTAACGGTTTGTTTCACTTGGTCTCACCACTCTGTGAGTTGCACTCTTGAATTTATTGTTGCTTAGCACCTTTTTTATACCAACAAACATAAAAGTTCTTAAATTTTGGGAAATGGTAACTGTGAAATTAACCAACATTCAAATTATAAATACCTGAATCACATCACCAATGTTAACAATAAGTTTGTCTTTGGAAGGCGCTATGGGAATCCATTGGTCATCTTTGTGCACCTCAAGGCCTCTAACATCATCCTGGTAGAGAATAGTGAAGCAGCCAGGATCTTCATGTGCAGTTTTTCCTGTGTTGTCATCATCTTCTATCGCTGGAAAGTAGTGGAGACCGAGCAATGAATCCTGAGAACGATCATTTCTATAGTTTGGTAGGAAGTCAGGAAGGAGGCCAAGACACTCATTTATGATTCCTTCCAACACAACTCCTAATTTTGTGAAATGGGAAACAATCGCCTCCAATACTTGCCTAAGAATATCAAACAGAGAACATTCTTGCAAATTTTCTAAAGAATTAAAATTTCGTACTACTACTTATAATTGGAAACACCATAACAAAGGATCGCCTAAATAAGAAACAGTTAATTTGAGATGCAATTGAGAGAAAATGAGGTGGAATGTTGGGGAAGACATTGAATGGAAAACGAAACAGCAAATGCTCGTAAGTCCCAGATGAATTCTTTGTGCTTTTAAGATAATTATAAAAAGGCACCACGAGTTTTTCTTCATCTGAAGAAGAGAAGAAAGTCTTATACATATCCTTGGTTCCGCTCAACAACTCCAAAGGAATTCCGTGATTCACAATTTGGAAGAAACCATAGTTAACACAAGCTTCTCTTATTTGCTCAATAGCCTTCTTTTTCACTTCTTCATTTTCTTCTAATCTAAAAAATGGAGAAACATCAATAGTTGGAATATCAAAACTAGCCATGGTTTTTTCCTTAATTCTCTTGACTCACAATGTTGTTCTGATCAACCTCTTTATAAAACAAAACAAAAAAACATAGTTTTAAGGAGAAGTCAATTGTTGATCTGCCCCATATAAATATTCAGTTTCTGGATTGCTAGCTCTGTCGTCAAGACTTGTCATATGCTATAGTTTAAGTATTTTATGCTTTTGTAGTAATCCAAAAAAATGATCCAACAACGTAACGTCCTAACATTTTATCTTACAAGACAAATATATACTTATTAGTTAAAGGGTCTCCACAAATCATTGAGGACAAGAATCATGAGATAATAACTTGAACAACTCTATTAGAAAAGTTTGATAGGCGTGATCAGTAAACTAACCAGATGATCACTTAATTAATAGTGGAATCCAATTAATTAATTTATATTTTAGATGATGCTGATTGCTACTCCTACTATATATATAGTAGTGATGATAGATTTGTTATTTCTCAAAAGTAAAGCAACTACCACCTACTTATGTAGTTGTTTATTTTCAGCTGCAACTCTCCATGATGTTTGTCTTCTAACTGACTCCAGTATTACTGAATAAATTATTTTGAAAAAAATACAGATGTTGGTTGCGGAAAAAGGAGGGTCACCTTTATGTTCATTAAACAAATTATTAGTTGGAACTTTAATTACACTTTGGATAATAATTAAGGTCTGAATAACTCTTTAGCCCTTGTGTATCGGTCGGTTCGGTTCGGTTTTGAAATTTATCGGTTTAACTTATTCGTTATGGGTTTGTAGAGATACTAAACCATTATAGAACCATTAAGACATTGGTCTATCGGTTATTGATCGTTATCAGTTCGGTTATCGATTTACCCGTTAAGATTTGACACAAAAAAAATATTGAAAATCATATGGAAATAAGGTGACAAACCAAATGAACCATGTACATGAGTTCACAAGTTACATCTTGCTAAAAAACAAACACTTTTACCTTGTAGAGTAACCAAGAGTTTGAGACAACCAGAAATAAAAGTAGGAAACCAAACTCTAAGTCAAGAACTTTATATACAAAATGATATAAATATAATTATTTAATTTACTATCGGGTTATCGGTTAACCCGTTAAGAAAAAGCTTCAAACCGTTAGGAACCGATAATTAATCCGATAACAAAAATAATCAAAAACCGTTATCAAAACCGCTATCAAAACCAATAAACCAATAACTTTTTTTCGATTCAAATTATCAGTTTCGATTCGGTATTGAACAACCCTACTCATCACATCATTTTTTTCCACGAATACTCTGCCAATTCATTTTAAATTATGTGAAGGTGTTATAACTATTTCGGTAATTAAATAGTTTTTTAATTGTAAGTTTCTCAATTATTTTTAAATATTTGAATCCTTACATCTGTTGACTTATAGTGTTTCCGTGTATTTAAATATATCAATTTTTATTTTTAAAAATCTATACATTATTCATAATTAAAGTAAATATTTTAATTTTCTTGTATTTTAAATTTCTCCACATAGATTGAGAGAGTAGCATTTGAGAGCTTCTTTATTTTACAATGTTAACTTAGTTAGCTTAGTGATGAGACGAAATTTTTATTTTTGGTGGCATGACTAAGGAAAGAATGATTGTCACTCATGATTATGGGTGACGATAATAATTAATAATAAAACCAAAATATGATTGACGCATATTTTTAATATTTAGTTATTTGGAGAATAAAAAACACGTCATCAGAATAAGGAAAAGTAGACACGAAGATTTTTATTTTTATTTTCTTAATTTAAAAGTGGGACAAAGATGCCCATTTATTAAAAACAAGGATTAAGAAAGCTCCTATCCTATTTAAAGAAAACTCGGGAGCAAAAGCAATTTTCCAATTGAGTGCTTATATGAGCAGCATATAATATAATCCCTATATTCAATTTTATATGATGATGCAATTTGATTTAATACGAAATTTAAAAGATAATTTTTTAAAAAAAATTGTAATTTAAAATAAGTAATAGCTATTTATGTAATTATAAATTATTTTATTAAAAATAAAATATATATTTTAAGTTAGTTTTTTTTTATTAAATACAAGAATGCGTCATTTTTTTTGCACGATCTAAAAAGAAAAATGAATCATATAAATTAAGATAGAAAATAATAGAGGAATTTCAGGAATAGATAATATTAGTTTGAAATTAGGTATTTTTAGCTACATTTTGACTGTTTCAATTCATAGTTACATTATTGTCTGCGGAGTACTAAATATATTCCATGTATCTTTATGTTAAAAGTGATTTCTAATAAAAACAGAATATTCAATGCAGTACATTAATTGAATTCCAATATCATTTTGAAACAAGAAAACTTAGCATAAATCACACCCACTAATATCTCAATTTTTCATAAATAATGAGACTCCAAAATCTCACAAGATCTTATCTGTGATAAAATGAAATTGTTCAAACAAGATATTTTCTTCTTTATTTATTTATTTATTACTAACTATTACTCATACCACAGTATTACATAATTATTCAACATTACATATTAAGAATGATGTAATACATATTGCAATGTTTCTTTTTCATATAGAGATAAAACATTTCATCACATAGACTTTTTGTCTAATTAGAAATTGAGTGGTGTGTTATATGTATGAGATCTTCAGGTCTAGATGGTGGATGACTCCTGTTTCTGAATCTCAACTCATGATATTCTTCAAACACGAATCCTCTATACTTTGGTGACTCTCCAATTTCCTTTGTAAACTCTGGTAATGGCTCAACGTACCCACTGCACTTAGTCGAGTAATAAATAATTTATGCATGATTAATGTTAGAATAATTAATATAAATATAACTAAAGTAATACATTATATTTAACATTACTCTTATATACTCTATCAAACTATCATGAGGGAAAGTGCATTGTCTATTAGGCCAAATGTGAAGTTACATACCTCAACTATGTGTTCAAATGTCAGCTCATGTTATTTTACTTGGTAGTTTTTTTTTTCATCCTTTAATGTAATAAAAACATTGTGTTTAAAGATTATTTTTTTAAAAAAAGGTTAGGGTTCACTACAAAAAAACCCTTTAATTGTTGGAGTTTTATTACGGAGGTTAATATAACCCCGTAAATTGCATCTAATTACGGAGGTTTAAGTAACCCTGCCATTTCTAAGCAATTTGTGGGGTTATTAACTGTGGTAACCCTCAAATTAAAATTCAATTTATAATATTAAGGCAGAGGCATTTTCTCCTCTTCTCTCCAATATCCCTAATTAACATTTTAGGTTCCTGGATAGCGATTGTTGGAGAAGAAACAATGGCGTCGGTGTCAATTGGAATCACCAGCCTGGAAGTCCGATACATCGACAACTCCATCGGCGATGGCATCAATATGTATTGAACGTGCTGGACCAATAATTTCGTTGCCGAAGAAAGTAAGTATACCTACCTCAAGGTCACTTAGAACACCTCTCTAATTACCCGTCCATAGTTGTCCTCTTCTTAGTGTCAATTTTGTTGAAAATTTGGTACAGATTGATTAAAATATTTGCTTGTGTAGGTTTTGTCGGTAGCAAATTTTGAATATTTGTTCATTTACCTGGCGATTTCCATGTATTTGATTACAACTGGATGCGATTTCTGATGCATATGTATCACTAGTTCCTTACAATCAGGTATTCTAGAGGCTTAAATTTAGTGTAGAAGATTCATGGCATATTAGTTAGTATTGTTGTGAAGTGAAATAATAATATAGGTGACCTTTGTTTTGTCGATTTTCTCCACTTTACTTGGAGAGGTTTTATGACCCTGTTGTTGGTCACGTTTTACTTGATGGCTGTGTTTTGAAGTCATACAATTTGAGATGGTTGAGGAACCATTTAGGACTTGTTCATCAGGAACCAATTATCTTCTCAAACATCATTAGTTAAAACATAGTCTATGCAAGGGGCAATGCTAGTATTAGAACACTAACATGATGTCAAGAATCTGCATTGGTTAGAATTCTCCCGTTCTAAATGGAATATCGATCTTGTTGGAATTTTTTGGCATTCTTAACCTGTGCTTTTGTATTCGTGACAGAGGAATTGCTTCGTAGGTCTTATAAACTGATAATCATTTTTTGACTTCTTCAAGGGAGCACTTGCTCTGGACATTGGAAGATTGGCAACAGGATATGGAATGGGAGTTTTCTCTTATGTGGTAGTTTAATCGATTGCTTTATTAAAATATCCAACTATAGTTATGTGTTCAAACTTGTTGGTTCTGGCATTTACCTTGACAACAATAAATCAAGTGCCGGTATTTATAGCTGAAATTGCACCTAAAGATTTACGAGGAGCCTTGACAACCATAAAATTGTCCCCTGCATAGCTTACCCCGACTCCAACCCTCCCTCATTCCAGTTTATCTAATATCGGTTCCTTTTCAGTAGAAATGCGTGGGTAGTAATGTCGGAGGTACTATCACTATATATCCTTTCTCAATCCATACTTCTCTTCTCCTATCGCTTCCCAGTTTCTCTCAATTTTAGGATTTCGCCCTAAATTAGATATAGAAAGTTTAGAAGATGAGCCACCAGACTCACTACAAAAAAAATGCATACTTTGTCATCATCAGAGCATCTGAAGTTCAGATTTAATTTGACGTCGTCGTCAGTTTTGCCGGCCATGACATCGATGTATATGGATGGAGCTATGACATGCATTTGTTAGTTGATTTTGCTGCCAAAAGAGTAAGTGTTGTCACTTTGAACATTTCCATCCTTACGTTTCTGTCGCGTTGTAAATGTGAAGCTACAAGTTAGTATACTTTTCCTCCAGTTTATGTCAATTTTGTTGAAAAATTGGTACAGATTGGTTTAAATATTTGCTTGTGTAGTTTTCTCTGCATTTGATTTTCATGTGTTCGATTACAGGCGATGAGGGTTATGGACAAGTCTCATTAGTTCCTGACATTTGATTTTCATAACGTTAAGTTTAAGCTCATCTCTCTCGTGTATAAAT